TTAATGGTGTACCCATTCAGTTATTATAGTATACCTCTAAACCTATAATACTTGGGTATTAATATTTTAAATCCACATCGTATAGTTTATTATTTTCGGGGAATTTGAAATTTGTGAGTTGCTTCCATTGTTTGATTTCAATTTTTTTTCAAATCGTTAAAAAAAACAGTTCTAGATGGGCTATAATATATTATATTATGCACTTATATAGATATACTTGATTGTATATTATGGCATTATATTAGTCTTACATTTATACGTAATGACGTAGGTATATTATATTCACATTTATAGTCATCATTCATCATAGTATCATAGTACAGTCACAATTATTATGTTTATAGATCAAATGTTTTTATGTATGATTTACTCAGAAGATAACGTTGAAATTACCAAATAATAGTATTGTAGTGTATGATGTAGGTACGAGGTACCTACAAATATAATAAAGGTATTATAATATATATATAAATAATACAATGTTAATGTGAAATGGTTATTAAATTAAATTATTTGCTTATCATTAATGTGTTATTTATAATATTAAATTATAGATATATAATACGACTTATAGTAAAAAAAGTTATTAAATTTAATGAATTGGCACATCGATTAATTGTTTGTTATAATATAAAAAATATTGTTTCATTGTTAGGCAAAATATAAAGTTGAATTCAACATTTTCGTTTGGATTAAATCAATTTGAATTCTTTTAAATGTTAAAAAAACAATTTGACATTTAAAAAAAATATAATAATCTACATAAGAAAAAAAAAGTTATTTTATACATTTTAAAGTGAGCAGTATTTATGAAATAAGAATATTAGATTTTTGAAATTAAAGCATTAATGGCTAAAGAAATTTAATTCACATTCCATAGGTATAATAATTGAATTTGAATATTTAAATTAGTAGCCAGATAATCTTTATTATATTATTTTGTTGAAATATTTGCTATTTTTTAATCAAGGTTTTAAACCCACATTATGGGTTAAATATTGTTTTATAAAACAAAATTATACTTTGTTAGTTTGACAAATTATGATGAAAGTTGGAGAATGATGGTTTCTATAGAGTGTTTCACTAATCGTGATCCCGCTCAATACAATTATGCATTTATTAAAATTCTGAATATTTTTGAATTCCAAATATTTAAAACTATATTTTTAAATCGTTGGATTTTTGTACTATTCAAGGTGTGTTAAAGGTTATCAACGACTTAAATTTCTATATCACTTAATTATTAATTTGCGAAAATTTGATTTTATGCATGCTTGCACTTGATCTGCCCGATTACCCAATGGCAACCAAATAATAAATACTAATTTCAATTAATTATTTCTCATATAACCAATAGCAACCATTTATAAACAAAAATTTCCTTGATAATCAAAATCCCCTTCGAGCACCTATTACCTAACCTCTAGTTAGTGGTAGGAGGATGAAAAATACTTAACGACCTATTCTTAAACCGACTAAATAAACAAAAAAAAAAATTTATTAAAATCGATCGAGCTGTTTTGGAGGGATCACAAACACCGTGACACAAGGTTTTTATATATTAGAAAGATAATGTCAAAAGAATTGTATCTTAATAACATTAAGTTTAGACCACAGTAACAAGAAAGCTTCATATTAATTAAAGTAAAAGGTGTGCCTTGTGGCAATATTTATTCTATTCAAATGAGAACCACTCTTTTTATTGTAAATTATTAGGCATATGAATTTTTTTTTTTGAAAATGATTATTCATTTGAATCGAAATGTGAAGGAACAGTGATTGAGTTATTACATTTTGAGTATAAGGACTGTAAATACAATACACGGTAATACATTTGTACATTTGAGAAATAATAGTTATGGTGTTTTGAAAATTATACTAATTTAATATGAATATATTAACATTTTATGATATGTGACAATTTTTGAGTATGATAAGTAATCACTACACAATAAACATTACATTAATTTTATGTTTTATATTTAAAACTATTATTAAACATTATTATCCATAGTCCATACGTTTTAATAGCTAAGAAATTATTCTCGCTCGAAATTCGATTTAGATTTTCGATAAATCGACTTCTAACATAAAAAAAATAGTGCATCTTATTTGAAAAAGAGAAATATTTTGTAAGTTTGCAACAAGACATTTTTTAGGGTTGGGTAAAATCTGAGCAGGGACCTAAAAATACATTCTTTAACAGTTAGTTAACATACTGCACATGACAATTTGAAAAATCCAATTTAATTTAATTACTTTTTGAAGAAAAAAAGGGGGAGAGCATTTGTGAATAGTGTATCCACCCGGTGTAACGTTTTAAATAGCTTTGTTGTTAACTGTTTTATTTTCGAAATATTATGATAAAAGTTGGTATATACGTTTTATTGGAACGAGATTAGAAGAATTTTGCACGATGCACATTCACAGGTTAAGTTCAACCGAATAAGCAAATAATTATGATTATAATTATCCTGTTTTGGGGTGAACGGTTAAAGTGACTCGATTCGAAACATAAACTATTTACGGGAATTGTGTTTCTACGTGTTTGTTTATCTGTGGTACTGTGGTAGGAACAAACGTATTTCGATCGAGACACATTTACCAATTTATCCGGTCGGAGCATCTGTGGGTAAATTATTAACTGTTGAACATCCAGCGAAAATCCTCGAGTAAGCTCACTGCCCGACCCTACGATGTGTTCCCTGTCGCAACAACATGGCTTCCCGTGGAGTAAATCCCACTAAGTAAGACTTAATAACTGACCTCAGTAACTTCCCCTCTCCGATGGCTGCAACCCAAACCAAAACATCGATTTTATTTTTTGTTTTTGAACATTTTTAAAACATTGTTGCTTAATATATATTATATTTTTGCACATTTTAACTACAAGCAAAATTATCAGTACTAACATAAACATTACTGGGCAATTTATTGAGTTTACTCGTGAAAGCATAGTATAAATAATATTACAAAGTAAATATTTTATTAATCGATTCTAAGTGATATTTTAAAATTATTAATGAGATCGCGTTGAAACTTTATACAGTTTCGTTTAAAGAGTATTTATTAAGTTACAAAATTAATATAAATGTACAAATTTAATTATGCTACTTCACTTATACTTGTATAATTTAATGTAAATATTATTGTAGCAAGCATTTGATTAATAGTTAATTTTTAAAGTTCTGTTTAGTCGTTAATTTGATAAAAATATGGTTTCAGTTGTTACCAGTTAATTATTTCACAACAAAACGTGAGTAAGGTTTGTATTCATGGGATGATAGAAATTATTTATAGGTATAGGTACTGCACATTTTAATGTGATGTAATTTTTTTATTTTTATTGAAGAAAATGTAGTTTAGTTAGTATTTACAAGTTATACAATGAGTAAATTTGGTGAGAGTTTATTGACGGGAAGAGGAATGTAAACACATAATATTGTAAGAATGTGTGTTAAATTCGTCTATGTAGTAGATTTTATAGTAGTTGTTGTTTGAAGACAAAAAAATTGTATTTATATCTATACATTTTTGTTATTTTTATTTAAATTTATTTTCTAACTAGACTAAACTTTGGAAGTTTGCTTAAAACTCTAAACTTTGGTTTTATATATTAAAATACTTTTATTTAAATAATTTAATCGCACCATAAATTTAATTAAAAATGATTTATATTATATCCAATTAAAAATTAATTCATAACATTTAAAATTGTTTAAGAATCGTTATAACTTTATTTAAGTTAAATTAACTAGAATTATTAGTTTGGGAAAACTTATATAGGGATTGACAGTATTTATTAATCAATAGTTAAGAAAATATATGAATTAACTATGATAAGTATACATTAATATTCCAAATTAGTTAATAGATGTTAATACGGTCTTCGAAAAATAATGATAATTGAGTATCATATTTACATGATTATAAATTCGGAATTCGAATACTCGAATATATTTATGATTCGGTTAGATATTTAGAATTTTTTATCCAAAAAATGCCTATAAACAACGGAGAATCAGGAAATCTTGATACATTACAATAATAAGGTTAATTTGGCCAATTTTGTTGGTCTTCATTCCTCACTACTATACCGAAAACTCAAAGAAAAATTGTAGTAATCTGGTTGGGTTAGGTTACGAAAAGAAAATTTTGAACATGGAAGGTTATAAACTTATTTTCTACAATTTATTAATGCGAGGTCAAAATTTTAATAACTGCTATTATCGAATTAAAAGCTAAGTTAATATTTTTTTAATGCATTTTTATAGAATAATAATTTGTATAACATAAAACTGCTAAATTATTTAAAAATTGTAGCTTACGTATTGAATTAATATTGAAATGTAGGTCATTGACAAATACTGATAATAGGGTGAGCCTAACGACGACGTATTGAATTTATGTTAAAATTATTTTTCTAATACACTGTAAGTTCTGCTTATTTTTAAATTGGTTAAACGAGATATTGTACTTTATTTTTTGTATTGTGTTGTTTTTGACTTTGGTTAGATTGTTACAGTGCTTATTGGATTTGGCACTACCTATTAATAACGTTAAGTATCACAATAGGTTTCGTTTTATTTTTATTTATAGACAATTTGTATTACCTGTTGATTATCTACTTCTATTAATATAATATGTTATCTGAAGAATAAATTGAATACATTATTATTATCAGTATCACAGAATTTTATTCTGAATCAGTATGTTTTTATTTTTATCAGTAGGTACCTACATAGTATTATTATGTTGCTTGTGTACACTATGTACTCGTAATATAAATTTCAATTGAATATTATTGTTTTTTTTTTTTACATAATGATCGCAGTGTTTGCGGACTCGGCGAAATCCAAACCGGTTTGTTGGAAGTTGCTGTATAATATTATAAAACCACTATTGTAGTAGGTATAATATAGTACACTCAATCTAGGCTAGACAAGGCACAAGCATGTTAGTATTCATCGGTCAGCGGTCCTGTACTCTGCTTCACAATCATGATAAACACCGGTTCGATAGGTGCGACGTGGATCTCGTTTGCATGCTGTTTGTGCTTCGTCATAACGTATAGCAGTAAGTCATGATTATTGTATTTTCCTATATATACGCTTTCTACGATTATTATTTATTAGAAATCCAAATAGAGGCTTTTTCCTTCGTTTAACGATTATTTTAACCAGCTAATACATAGGTGGTATGTACCTACTAACAACTGGGGATTACAAAAACTTTGTAACGACTGCTGACTTGAAGTTACTTACCTCAAACTTTTATACGTATGATAAGAACTAAAGTTTTAACTACTCTCGTAGGACATTTTTAAAACTGTGAGAAATTGACCACGTTTCTAAATATACTAATCCTTATTTAGCATACCCGGTTTCAATTTCCATCGTTCAATTAATAGGTGTGAACTATGCATCCTACACTTGGCTGTTAAAATAATTTAAATTTTATTTGAATTTGTATGGCTTATAAATGTCACTACTGTTGTTGGTTGTCTGTAATAATATGTGTTGCAGCCACTATTCGCTTTGATTTCAAATTTGTATTTAATACAAATATTGTACAAATAATTAGTAATTCATTGTTGATAAATATAATGTTTAAAATTGTTTTGTATGTTTTTTAGTTTTATTAGGCCAGTTAAATATGTTGAATTAAACAATAATAATATACCTCTACATATTAAGTTTTCTATGTTTTGTGTTTTTATATTACCGCTACAATTACTACAAATAAATATTATAGTATAATTGTAATCTATTTAAATGCAAACGTCAATCATTTGTCATTACATTCAATATTATGCTATTATTAGCGCAATCAAAACCTCATTTACTGACATTAATCATTCAACATTATATTTTGCTGTTTTTAATCTCTACTACTACAAAAATCTAAAAACTATATCTTTTAAGTATTATTCAGTCAAGATTTCTGAATATTAAAAGTGACACTTGGTATTTGACTAAGGATACTTGGTCGGTGTCTTTTAATACCTACTTGAAAAAGGGGTCTAGCTGCTTAAAAGCATTGTCGATTTACTCTGAGTATACCTACCCACTAAAATATACGTAATAGTTAGCGTTCAATTTTAAATATTTATGGAAAGCTGATATCATTCTACGAAGGTGACAAAACAAACACATTAAGTTGCTGGATGATTTTTTTTTAAGGTTTTGCTCGTAATGCAATCAACTTGATCGTTACAAAGGTAAAGGCACTATAAATCGCATTATGCACTCTATCCTTAGTTTTTTTTTATTTAACTCTAACGTGAGTCGACTACATGTATCACATATTCTTTATAGCGTCTTCCAAGTTTTCGGAACTTCGTATAAAATGGGGAAAAAATAATGAAATTATTATGTCCTTTGAATATCATTCGTCTGCGGGAAAAAAATACGACCGTAAATAACATACTTAATACTCAAGGGAAATCACATGATGGTTTAAAACTTTGCCGAAAATTAATACTCACTGTTTTATTTTTGATTTTTTACCGACATTTTTAGTCAAAATTATATTATTATAGAACCTCATTTAATATTAACATACTATACGTAATTATAATATACCAAAATCCATCAGGTATAAATTAATAATTATGCATATGATTTTTACGAAATATCAAAAATGGATACTATCTTTTTAATAAATGTAATAGTACATATTATTATACTGTATAAATAATAATACATTTTGAAATCATATTTATTGAGCAATATTGTAATAAAAAGAAACAGTGGAAATAGCTTAAATGTGTGGACAAGTAGGTACCGCTCTGCTGTAGACGCAGTAGGTCGAGGGGGTCACTGTAATGGATGTGTTAAATTAAATAATACATCAAAAAACGATTATGATCGGAGTCGATCTGTCTAAATAGGATTCAATATTATATTTATTTCATTCGGTGAACATTTTAAGTTAAGTTGTTATTCATTTTTGAGTCGCAATAGAAAAATGAAATTGGTTTTGCGTAAAAATTTCCGTTTTTCCTTATTTTTTGTTCATCCCGTTTATATTGAAAAGTTCTTCGAATTTTTACTCTTACTCTACCCTAAGTACTAAAATATAGTTCCAATTTTCTACTAGAAACTACCATAAAAGTTGAAAACCTATGCATTTTTACTGCTTTAAAAGGCGATGACAGACACAAAAAGAGCATCATATGTTCAATAATATGTACCTAATATAACGTCATACGAGATCGTATATAATATCATTAAAACATTTAATTTGTACGAAAAAATACGTTATTTTTTGAAAGCCAACGAAGCGAGACGTGTACTATTAAAATCGGTTTGTTTTAACGACTGCCTAATAATACTAAAATAATAACTCTAACGAGAATAAAATGCCCTTGAAAATGGACAAAAGTCGGAAGTACGAATTCTTATTTTGCCATTGTTCAGTATATTGAGTCATTTGTGATTGTGAGTATTAAAATTTCGAATGGTAAACTTCGCGGACATGGAATATTAACGATGCCGATGACGATGTTATGTACCGCGCCATAGGTATATAACAACAATATAGTAACTTGTTTTTCCGGTAACTTAGGCCTGAAAACATGACGTATTTATTGGGGTGGTTGAAAACACGACCACGATGTCCAGTCACGTAATGTTTACACAGTAGGACCGAATTCCAGCGGCTGAGAATAAAGCTCTTGAACACTGTGGCTCGGATAATACTGATTAATAATTATTACTAGTGATGTTAGTTTGTATAATACAAATGTATAATATCGTATTAAACATGGTATTATAAGCGCTGTGTAGAATTATTTTATACAATGGTATAAAATCGGTATAAAACTTTTTTTTTTCGCTAAGTGGTTAAACGGTTTGACGACAATTATTAAGAAAATTGACAAATATAAATTTTTATTAAATTTAAATATGTATCCATTATTTACAAACAAAAAAGTATTAATTATTTATTTTTTTATATTCAACAGTTATTACTTATTTTAATTATTATTTTAAAAAGAAACTAAAAGACTAAAGTGTTAAAATTGTTAATATTAACTATTAATAATTACTATTGTTACTTTTTTTACATTAAACATTTATTTTATTTATTATTTAGAAAAAAAAACCAAAAGAGTCATTTATGTTTATTAAAATTATTAATTATTACTTTACTTGTTGACTTTGTTATTACTTTTGAATTTAATTTATATTATTTTTCTTATTTGTATTAAAAAGATTCAATTTTCAAATGGGAAATGTACAAAGGTTGAGTAATCAAGCTTAAATTGTATATGTACAATTTTATTAATAAGGTATATGTATTATACCATACTTAAATACAACAGTATTATACAAAGTTTAATACACGTATAATAAAAAAAAAAAAAACACTGTATTTTAACATCACTAATTATTATACACCCGTCCGTGATGCGTCCGTGCCACCTGCAGCCCCCGATTCCAGAGATTTCAGACTTACGTACGATTATATTATTGTTTCATATGCATTAATAAAATCTATGCCATTTGGGTATCTTTGTATCGTAACCTTCGTCTTCGTCCATACACGTTACTGAAAAGTAATATTATACGTAGTCCACTGGAGGTAGGTACTCCTCATTCGACAAATCGATTAAATAGTAAACAAAAAATATGTTTTATATAAAAAGAAACATCGATATTCGTCGGAATAAATTAATAATTCACACCTGATTAAAAATTTTAAAATATATTTTACATTATACCTAACAACATTTATAAGTCATCAGCATTATAAGACATAATATACCTTTAATATGAATTGTTGTTAGCAAAAGGACTGTAATCGGTTAATATTTTCAATGGACAATACAGTGTAGCACGGGGATATCGGATATACCTAACCCATGCTGTGGTAAACTTAAAATTCATCAGAGTAAAGCTCATAAACATGCCCGGATAAGGGGGTAGGAAAAAAAAGCAGAGAAAAAGATTCGTGGCCCTATTGGCTTTTGATATTACATAATAATATATAATTAGCACCCATTTGCTATAATTAGAAAACAACTATTTATTATACTTGAACTAGTTACCTAATTCAACAATTTCTAGTTATTATACATATCAACAACGTTATTACGATTTCTGTTAAAGTATGTATGGTTATGTGTAAATTAAGGTTTCAATGAAATTTTTTTTACTAAAGAGTAAAGATCAATCCTAATTAGCTTAACTCAAAATAATATATAATATTAAAATAAAATTGTTTTATTCTTTTTGAGGGCCCCATTGAAAAGTTTAGTCCCGGGCCTCCAAATATCTTCATCCAGGCTTGCACATAAAAGATCCAACTTCCACTTTAATCTAGCGTACTTTGCACACGTCTACCAACTATTAATACTATTACTACCTTTTATCTTCATCAGAAATTACTATGTAAACGAGATTTTAGTCACAAAATATCACACAAAAACGCCCACAACAACCGTCTACCGGTCTACCCCTTTAAAAAGTCGTCACTGCTGTCAACATCCAATCTAAATAATATGTAAGTACCTCGTTTAAAGTCACGAACTGGTCGTAGTAAAAAGCCCCATCGATGCCACGTCGTAGTATCATCCGAGTGGAGATCCGATAACATTATATGTACCTTGAAGGGATTCTTACAGGGGAAGTGTAACGCCGTTTCCTATTTGAATGCGACAAATGCTACCAAAAACAGAACAGTTTGTATCTCGTCGCATCGGTAGCATCGTATTGCAACGGAACAGCATGATGAGAATAGGACTCGTCGGATTTACGTAGGACACTGCGTAACGCGGTGACTGCTTTGACGAGGGAACACGCGGGAGGTGAAAATATTATTAGTTCTGTCGACGGCGGCGGCTCATTTGTAGACATTTTCCAAATTGAAACGAACGACTTACTCGAGAACAAAGTAATTTCCACAGATTAAGTGAAAGAAAACAACGATAGGTTGTATAATGTATATAGTGGTAAAAGGGCGACGGTGTGTCGGTGTTAAAAAAAAAAAAAACGCGTCTAAAATGTCACGCAATAAATCGTACCGGGTTTTTCGCAAACTCACACACCGGCGTGTCTTGGAAAAATAAAAAAATATATACACAAAGAAACCGAAAAGTTTAGATGATAATAAACTGCCGGCGGTGAAAACTTTAACCGCTGCCCCCGACCGCAAAATCCAGTGACCCGCGGTATTTTCTCGCATAACAACACTTCAAACAACACCATAATAACATAAATTATGCGTATTATTGTTTTACACTGTTTTATTTAACTACTCATATTATTATTATTATTATATTTCTGTTATTCGTTTTTAGGTCGTAATGTGTGCTGCTCGCTCGCAGCCAACACCGGTAAAGAGTACACGGAACAAGGTAAATTAATTATTATTATTGTTGTTTACGACAACTATATGCTTGAATCATTGTCCATTCATTTTTAATTAATATTGTGATATTTGTTTGCCATCGAATGGTTTTGACGGTTTTTAAATATATATGTGTGAGTATACATGTGTAATATAGATATTAGTTTTAACTTCGACTTTCGTCGAAACGAACCAAAATCATTATGGACCCATTATTCAAAATGATAATTCGATAATTTTTTTTAGTTAGTCCCACGTATTGTAATATATTGCTAAACATAATATTGTTAATACAATTATATTTTATATATTTTTTCAAATTATAAATCAAGAGTTGTTTAATTTAATAGGTATCTAAACAATAATTCTTTACATGACTATATTTTGTACTTTTATCACTTAAATGGTAATTTATGAGTCTGTTTTAAAATAGTTGTACAACATTAATCATAATAAATATTCAGGATTAAAAGACTAAAAATGTGTAACTAAAGGCTATAGGGTTTAGAAATAAAAAAAGTTTCGGTTTTAGATTCTGAGTGAAGCGATTAATGTATTGGAATTTAAAATTATGTGGGTTTTTTTTATAAATGATTTTTTGTGTCTGTCATTGAATTTTGTGACAGTAAAACTGCATTCATTTTAAACTTTAAAAGTAGTTTAATGATAGCAAATCACATATTTTGGTACTTGGGTATGGGACTTTGCATCAAACATTTATATTGACATTTAATAGATATAATATTATTTTCAAAATATTTTGGAACTTTATACCAATTTGAAATTTTTGAATTTTTTTAGTTTTCAGAGTAATTAAGTAAATCTCAATAGTTAACAACAATAATATATACTATCTGTTCATCTAGGTACTATTAAAATGAATGATAATTTTATATTATAATCGCTATGTCTTTACCAATAATTAATATTCAACCTATCGTATTACTAAAAGTCAATTACATTACTAAGCAATAATAAAATATAATTACTAATTAGCAATAACGGTTGACAAACCGTCTCACAGCAGATTGAGTTCCCCGAGTTTCAACTTAAGATCTATTTTATATCATTAATGGTCAATTCGTAGATCACCCGGTCAATTGTTTGGTTTCTAAATTACAACTCTTCGAAAATTGAGATAAAATAGTTTACTAAGAAATAATTTACTATAGAATTTTATGAATTTTAATAATCAGTAGCTTTCATTTTTTAGATCTATTAGTAACACATAAATAATAATATAATATACATAATATATGCTGATAGCAATATTGGCGTATTGTATAACTAAAATATGCAGTGTTAATATAGATTACAAATGCTCTTATGGGTCATTCAGTTTAATTTTATGTAACGTACTGATTTATTAATTAATTATTGCAAGCCACAGACAAGGAGCAAAATAAATTATTTATTATTAAAAATCAATTTATTTAAAAGCTTTAAGTATTACATAAGCTTATGTAGATCTAGATACATATTAAGATGCTTGTATGTTAAGCAGTTAATTTTTTTCCTAAGAGGATGTCAGCTCACTATTAATTGATATTCCTTCGTTTTATCACTTTTATTTTTCTCTGACCCATGTGCAACATACCAAATTTGCGTTTACCAGAACCAATCTAGTGTTGTTAGATTTAATATTACAGTGAAGAGACTTATCAAACTTTGAGTTAAGAACATTATCTACGTATGTACGTCGGCTTTTTTAGGATATTTCAATTTTTACCCAAGTTCCAAGTATGTACAATATTACAATTTAAAAATGATCATATCCAACTTTTAAATTTAAATAGGTACTGTGAAAAATCCAACGTACAAACACAGTGTTTTTAACTCGAAGTTTGATAATAAGTCGATTCACCCTAATACTAAAGCTTACAACGCAAGGTTGGTTTTGCTAAACGTAAATTTGATATGTTTCGCTTGGGTCAGAGAGAGTAATCTAATAGTGTGCTGACATCCTATTTAATGCTTTTAAATTATTAAACCTTCGTACAACTTAAGTACTTAACTATAAATTACTTAATATTAGTAATAACTTATTATATTTAAATAAGTAAATTAATAATCAGTTAAACTAATATGAAAAACTTCGCGAGGAAAACCTCCTACAAGAAACACTCAAAAACGAAACAGAAAAATGAGAAATCAAAAAGAACCAACCTAAATAATATAATTTTGAATATTGTTTTTAAATAATATATACTATATAGGATGACTTTTTTTACATTCCCACTTATCTTGTGATAGTGTAAAGTCTTACGTAATTGAAAAAAAATATTTTTTTTTACATAATTTGATAGCATACCTACATTTTTAATTCCATATTCCGCAATAGAAAATGTTGTTCAATATTTTTCTGAACATTTTAATTCAAATTTGACCGAGTTGTTAATTAGTTATAACTTATAAATATTTGAAGTTTTGATGAGTGGAGTAGAGTGGCACTTCAAGAGTATCCCGAAAATGTTGGTACTTTACTTGGCTCTTTAAAACTTTAAATATTTATAAGTTATAACTAGTTAGGTATCTACATTTTTAGAAATTTGATTAGTTATACATCGAAATTCTGTGAAAAAATATTTAAATACCTATGAATTAAAAACGGATAGTCAGTCAATAAAGGAAAAACTTAAAAAATTATAACGAGAATAATAGTAACATTTATATATTTTTATTAAAATATTTTTTTTATTATCATTTTAAATTATGTGAGGTAAATATTTTCAAAGAGTTTTTGGTACTATTCGAGATAATGAGTGTTAAATTAATCACACAGGATGTAGTTATCACAATAAACTTATGACATACCATTTATTAATATATTATATTATATAATTCACCTTCAAAGTAAATACAGAAATACGTGTACCCAATATCAATTTTTGTTGGGCATGTAGTTTAAATCATGAGTTATATTTAAATCCTTATCCAACTATATCTCCCCCAAAACGATTTAATCTTTTACAAAATGTGCAAAGCTATAGAAATTATTATTAATTATTCATGTTTAAAGTTTCTATGGTTATTACTTTCTAAGTATATTAAAAATATAAAAATAAATTAAAATTGTTTTGAATATTATTCAAAAAATATTAATCTTTTAAAGTTTAATTATAAAAACCAATATTATCTTTACTCTGGAGCTATAGAATTTATAATAATATAGAATAATATAAGCTAACATTCTTTTGATGTGTACGTGGGGTTAAAATGTATGGGAATTTCGTGCAAATAACAAAAACACCTTAGCGTACGCGTAGTGAACGTAAGTTGGTAACGGCTCATCTGAAAACTACTCGTCTGATTTCAATAAAAGTTATATCAATGGATTCGTTGAGACTCTGAGAGTAATCTAGATTCTTTTTTCATCACCTATATGCTGGTATAGGGTGGTCCACATAGTCACATATGCATATCTTTGGTTCACAAGTTGTTGTTTATATATTACTATTATAATTATTATAAATATAGATTATAAAAATAAATTAAATATAGATTTTTTTTATACAATATTTATACAATTTCAAACGAAGAGCGTTTAGGTGTTTACAAGTAAAAAATGTACCCCGACAACTATTTTTTAATTTTTATTTAAAAACAATTATAGTAAATATCTTTGTATTATTATCATCAACCTATTTTTTTTGTAAAATCTTGGATAAGAAAGTGGAGTAGCTTATTTGGAATTTGTTGCTAGTTTTTATTATTATTTTTTACTGGAATGAGTTATCTATTTTTATGGGTTCGATATTTTTTTTATCGTTATACATAATACAATATACAATTGTACTGAGTACAGTTTACAATACAAATGTACAATACAGTTAGGCACCTCATTCTATTTCAACTTCAGCTTTTTCAGTTGTTACCATAAATATTCTTTATAGAATCTATTTTGTCTACTGAATTCCCTTTTTAAAATCATTTCAAATGTTCTCGGCATAAACACATTACATATTGCTCTCGACTTTCAACAGAACCGAATCATCTGAAAGAAATTCACTCACGTTCGCCATGTACAACCGGCACTCGTTAAAGTCGGACTTAAGTCTCGAGTGAATTGTTATTTCAAGGAATATACATATATAATATTATATATATGTATGTAAAGACAGAAATAAAATAATAACAGCTTGGATTTTTTTTTTCATGTAGACAGACAGTACTGGATCGAAAACGCTATGGCGAAGGTGACCGAGAAAGTCAAGTACGTGAATAAAAGAGGCGTCGCCAAAAATATAATCATGTTCCTGGGTGACGGTATGTCGTTGACTACGTTGACGGCATCGCGTATCTACAAAGGTCAAATGGAAAAACGTTCCGGCGAGAATGAGTACTTGAGCTTCGAGAAATTCCCATTTGTCGGCATGTCAAAGGTGATATTAAAATAAACTATATAAAATTAAAATTCGAAAACACTCATGTCACGATATCGCCACTAGAATTTGAATATAATTGAGTTTTTAAAACAATAATGTTTATATCATCGGATGACACACATTGTTAAAATATTTTGGATCAATAGGTATTTACACAGTTTTAAATTTTGATTGCTGAGTGAAATCTATAAAATTGGTTTTAATTATTTTATTATGAAGTTAACTGAATATACATAACAATATAACCATTTCCGAATGACTACAGATTTTTATAAAAAAATTTGATATATTTAAAATAAGTGGTCTTAAATAAGTTTAGTATAATGTACTATGTTTTGGTGAATAAAAAAAAAATTAAAATCTGTTTCTTAAGTATCTTTGATGTACTTATGATACAGTTAAAGCAATATAAATTCATAGTTAGCTACCGAATTTAACACAAAGCATTATAGGTGTACTGCTGTACTGTGATATTTTAAAACAATCTAGATGTAAATCATTTCAAGAAAAATATAGGTATATTTTTAAGAGGATAATTTAAAAATATTTTAGTTTAAATAATTTATAATATTATATTTTTTATGGTGGCTTTAAAATGTTATTACAATGAACATTATCATAACCTAATTTTTAGTTATGTTTACTATTTTAATGGTAATTTAACTTCAATTTTTGATAAATTTGTTATCTGACAATTTTGTCAGTGTTGATGACAAGGGTAATGGTGTTAATTATTAGAGACCTGAGAAAAATGTGGTCAAAGTGCAAAGATATAATGCATAATTAAATGTGCGGTGACTGGGATGACAGCTGTCAAAAACAGTGCGTTATGTGAAGAAGAAACCTAAATAAATAATAAACAATACGGCTGGAGTTTAAAATTTCAGTTAAGTGCAATACGTAAAAATCAAAATCAAATGTGTGTATTGATTGTAATAATTGCAATAATTTTTGTTAAACATTTTTAGTAAAAATAATACGAATTTGTACTATAATATGTTCGTTGTTATTTGATTAAACTAATATAAATCGAAATACAAAAATCACAAATTACATTGAACGTTAATACAAGAAATGTAGACGAAAATACCTATCTATATACCTATATAATTTAGAATAAATATGAATTATATTTTTAATAATCTGTTTTAACGTTTGATAGGCGATCGGCGATAGAGAAAAATCGAATGCCAAAAATGCTGGTTACACATTTAGAAGCACGTACGTTTGTAGTTGTAGTAACTTATAAATGAAATAAAATGGTGTTTAAATAATTTTATTAATAAGAAAAAATGCTTTCATCAAAGGTTAAACAAAAATATAAGCCATGTATCCATTGGGTTCATAAGTTTGAAATGTAATCTGTTGAATGTTAAAACTTAACTTATTATATCATATTTCAATATTTGTCTGAATGGTACGATAAGTAGTGAATTAAATTAACCCATAATAATTCCTTCATGAATAGGTGGTTAGGTTAAGTTACAGAACCTTCACTTTAAGACACGGTTTCTGCTCAGGTACAACATTAAATAATTTACTTATTCCTTCTATTTTTTTTGTGAAGTATTTAGAGATTAACCTTGATAGGAGATTAACCTAAAATAAAAATAGTAAGACAAATAAGATTAATCCTTAACGCTCGTTTTCGTACAAAAAAAAAAACAAATTTACTAGTGTAAAAACTTAACTCCTATTTTGAGACCCTCTTAAAATCAATATGGACATATGGAATATAACTAGGTATGCGAGGTTGGCTAAATAATCAAACATAAATACAGTGTTGGGTAAGTTACTTTTAAAAAGTAATTAAGTTACTTTACTCGTTAATCAAATAAAATTGTAATGAAATTACTTACTTTTCAAATAGAAAAGTAACTCATTACTTTCTCGTTACAAAAATAATTTTTTTTTATATTTCTTGGCAATTATCTTCTGCAGGTAAATTGAACGAGCAAATTCTTTATACAACCTATATAGTTAATAGGATCATACACAATTTAGTCTTCCACACAAGCTATATTCATAGGAAATCTATTTAAAGGAATCAATTTAAATACCTAATAAATTTAATCAACTGTACTCGTGATTTACGATGCAATTAGACATTTCAAATGTCAAAACCATTGAAAACTGAATTGTGTGAGTTAAAATTAAATATAATATATACATATTAGATTCTTAAACATAATAATACCCGCATTATATATATATATATTTTTTCAATTCTCAATAGGTTCTTAATAATTCGAAACAGTAACGCGTTATTCTATAGAAATTACTTTTCAAAAGTAATTTCCATTACATTTTCGTTACTTGGAAATAATTCTAATGAAATTACGTAACGCGACAAGCAAAGTAACGCCGTTACAGTAATGCGTTACTTTCGTTACGTTACTACCCAACACTGCATAAATACAATTCAAGTATTTTAAAACTTAACATTCTACATAATAAACTCTTCGCCCTTTGTCCCTATCAAAACCTTTCCCTATGACCTTGTCTTTAAATCAACTGAGAATAAAGCTGCACTTTTATACAAACGGTGTTTCTCTAGACTGGAAAACGACCACAATCTACTGATAAAATATATGACCTACATACCCGTCCACTCCCTGGAAATCCTCTTGGTTTACTCAAAATAAAGTATGTCGTCATATTTTGTTTTAATAAATTATCTCATTTCAAATTTTAATCCCAAATTAAATTTCACAAATGTTCGGCTTCTTTTTAATGTAACCTGCACTATTTAATATTTATATTTTTTCTCCCCTCAATCACATGTACATATTATACATAATTAATATGTACCTACCTATAGATTGTATAATATAAATACGAATTATTATTAAAATTATCAACTTTTGATTTTTAAATGGCAATCTGTATTTTTAAGTAACATTGTTATCTGAAGTGGAATATTTTTCTTAAAATGTTGATAAAATATTCAATATTAAACTAACAGATTTTGTTTTATCAATAGGCGTTTATAGTTTAAATTAATGTAGTAGAGGACAATTTATTTAGCGGTGTACACTTTGCCTCTTCACTCTTTTATCTCAACTTTCATTACTTTCAAATAAAAATTATTTGCTCGAGATGACTAACCACATTCGTAGATATTAGTTTATTTTGTCAATAAATGTATTCGTACATGAGTACTGAGTAGAGATGGCGGGACATGTTATAATCCTACGCCAGCAACGTTGATCTCCTATTCTTATTTCCTGCATGACCAAAGCGAATAGTAACGCGTTTTTATCATAGACGCATTATCCAGAGGTATATCTCTGCGTACGGTTGCTACCCTAAAACAATTTCTGGAGTAGCAAATGTATTTTAAGGTTTATGTTAGAAAAAATAATTATAAACTGTTGATTAAACTATATTACTGTTATTTTTAAAACTGATACTATAGTACTATACACATCTAATTTTGGGAATTTTTTTTTTAAATTGTATTCCCTTAGCACATGCATATTTTCTATTTTTGTGGAAACATTTTTGTTGGTCCAAAATTAATTCCCTAGAGTCTAGATTGTGGTAACACTCTGAACGAAGGCACTTTTTTGGTCGGATATCGGTTATTAAAATTTAGACTTGGTGTCGTAACGAGTGAACTCTTGGGCGGCCCACCTAATTCGTTATCGCGTCACTAATCGTTCCAGACCTACTGCGTGGACAAACAAGTGGCAGACTCGGCATGCACGGCCACCGCTTACCTGACGGGCGTGAAAGCCAACTATGAAACGATCGGGGTATCGGCCTCTGTGAAGCTGAACGACTGTCCCGGGTCGGTGGCTCCCGGTAACAGGACGCAGTCTATAGCCGAATGGTCGATGGCAGCGGGCAAAGCCGTCGGGCTGGTAACCACAACCCGGGTAACGCACGCGTCCCCGGCCGGGGTTTACGCGCACACGGCGCACCGAGACTGGGAGTCGGATGCCGATCTGGCAAAGGCGGCGAACCTGACGGACGTGACGCAGTGCGAAGACATCGCCAAACAGCTGATTACCAGAAGCCCCGGGATAGACATAAAGGTGAGTACATACACCAAGGTTTTCATAATATTGTTGTGCTGATTTTTATTTTTCAGGAAACTTAACTCTTTGAGGGGCCGTGGTTAGTATGCTAACCACTTTTTTTTTTACCGTTCAGGTGCGGTGGTTACTATTTTAACCACTTTTAAAATTATTTTTAATATTTTTTTGAAAATCGTCAGCATACCAACCACCTTATTATCATCTATTACATGCATCAAACAATATCACTGCCGCTGGTCTGATATCATTTCTCGCGTATTTTATCATTTATTATCATTATCAATATTTTGATATACGTACTAAATGTTATGGTAAAGAGACATTTTGCCCACATGGGCTTTTTTTCCAAAGGAAATTTTCGCCCCTCAAAGAGTTAATTGTTTGTCCATTATTTTTTTTAAATTTTTAATTTGTGACAAATTTTGGGGATTAAAATTGTCTGCGACCCATGTCAGACTTGATAAGTGAAAGGGCTCAACATACAATAATTATCGAGGGTATTGCTGAGTTATACTGTTTTATTTTTATACGATGTATACCTATATGGGTATATCGACTATCGAATACCATTTACCAATTTACCATTATTACCTTAGCCACCTACCTAATAAAGAATTTAAATGTATGATATTGTAAGAAAAGTAACTGTGATGAAAAAAATTTAACCTAATTAATTACGATTATAATCATAAATTAAAATAATAATATTGATTTTTATGATCGTATGTTAAAATTAAAATAATGAACTATGTTTGCCAATAGTTTTGCCTGTTTTTTTTTTTATCTGAGCGTGTCATTAGATTACTGATTCAACTATTGAAGTGTATCAAAAGGCAGTTATAAGAAAAAATTGTTTAGCGCTTATAAATTAAACCTATAGCAATTATTTCAATTAAAAGTATTATTGCATATTCTACTAATCTTTAAAGGACCATAGTTAATATACTAGAGAGCCAAAATTGATGATTCGACTATCAACATTTTCAGAAAAAAAAGCTTTATAAGAATCCATTAAAAAATATAGTGGTTGTCATTTGAAAAAAAAGTTGATTTAGCTATTGGTACACCTGAGTGTTAAAAAATTAAAATGAAAAAATTGCCTGTTAAAAATAAAGAAACGCATCTTTTTTCGTTTTAACGAAATTCCATATCATTGTTCCATAATCGTTAAAAAATCCCGCGTACAACAGATACACGCGTACATAATATACACCCAGTATAATACATTTTGACTTGGACAAGATTGGAATAAAATCGAATAAATAAAAATGTCATACATATTATTTTAATTTATTCATTTTCTACTATAATTATGCATTTTAAATTCAATTCAAACTTGTGATCCTCGACCACCCACCTGTAGAATATTACTGCGTGAGGTTTCTGACAGCCGATCACAATAATTTACTGTGGTAATTTGATGACCACTAAACAGATTTTTCACGGTCAAATGGATAACACATCCTTCTTAGTCCTTGATACTGTGTATTACAGTCGTCACTCGTCGTTTTATAGCCTCTGTCATTTTGTTTTGTAATATTTATCAGAATGATAACCTTACGTTGTGATCAGTATATTATGAATTATTGTATTGTTTTCCTATTTTACACTAACACTAAGTTTGTTTAG